GGCTCTAGATACTTGACTGATTGATCCGATGTTACCTATCAATTGATAGGTGTTACCTCTTTAGTCATCGTCTGCAAATTAAATGCATTTGTGCACTATTTTGACCCTCCAGCTGCGATTATGGAGCACTCACATTTTTCGCATCCATCCGAGGGCTTTTTGTATATGCTTTCTGCAGTCAGCACCGCCTTTGCCGGTAAATGGAACACTCTTCGCCTTATTATTCCACTCTATAAGAGCTATAATCTATTAACAGATGTTCGCGAACGACTGAAGCACAATCATATTCCGAAAAAGCATTACTATGTAGCTTCATATGAATACCGTATTGTTTACGCGGGTCTCCCCTTACCAGTAATATCTATACATGTAGATAGAAAGAGAAAAGTAATATAAAAGCTGATAATATAATTGTTGTTGTCAGGAATCATCGAACTATGACTTGAGCTCTATATAGAGATATAAATGGGTGAAGCACAGTCAAGACTTTTTCAGCGACTTCAATATGACTTCGCTAAGTAGCGATGTGAACTTGAAATTATCAATTAATAAGAAATATTTATGTAACAATTCCACGTAAAAAGCAAAATACGGTCATAGTATCAAATTGAAAATAATCATAATTTAATTTATGTTACTCGAGAGCGTAAACCGCTGGGAGCAGTAGCTCGCCATATGAACTGCCTATCGAGTTAGCTATGGTAGCTAGTTTTTGTGACTGTATGCACAGCAGATTAATAAGTGTGTATAAATAAATATTTTTTTACTCTGTTATCTTTTAATGTTAAGACACGATTTGTTGTTCTTTTATTAAGTGCATTTTCGCAAAATGATTTTCTTAGGACAAGCTGAATACAATATGTTACGAGTGCTTAAATGTGTCAGAAACTAAAACGCTATTTCGGTATGATTTTATAAATGTCTTTGTTTAGCAGCACTTGATTGTCCGGAAGAGATGTGTGTCGAGGATCCTTCGAATCATTGTAGAAAGTATAGTATATAAAAGTATTCCTCGGTCATTTTCAGGGCCATCGTTTGTCATGGTTGATGAAAACACAGAACCATAATCTCTGTTTTAGCGCACATCTCTACGTCGGTTTGCTAAAAAATTAATCTTTTCAAAAATAGTTTGCCATGACATGCGTCCGTATGCATCCCAATATTTGCTACCGAGACGTCGTGTATGTTTGGTTGTTTATGGAACGCGTCCAAAAGAATCTCGCTGAGCAATTTACTTTGGTATGGAAATACTATCTTGGCAATCTCCACTGCGATAAGAGGGATACAAATTCAGTTGACGTGTCCCTATGTAGATCGTTCGAGCGGCTAGTGTCGTACAACACGTATGATACTCTTAAGCATCTATTAGATTAAGGTCTGATCTTGAAACCACTTTATTCTAAAATGTGGAGCTATAAATAAGAGTACGTCTGTTTTCTCTGTAAATTGTAATAGAAAAATTAGACCTTTAGGAGGGATTGCTAAGCGAGCGATTATCACGGTTAATTTACACATGATTTATTAGAGTTCTGCGACTTTTCCTGATCATCAAGCATTTTTTGCTCTTTTTTTTTTTTTAAGTACATTGGGTGCTGGCAGAATATGCCCACTAATATTCTTTTCGACCTGGCAAGCAGAACCTGTCTACCGGGATTTTCGTTATATCTTTTTGATGTGTTCAATTCGAATAAAAAAATTTGCCTAGTATTCAAATCAATTGTACAAATGCTTTTGTATAGTTGTAACCTGCAGTACGACAAATGTGTGCAAGGAAGTGAAAATCGGACGCAACACAATTGAGAAAAATGCATATCACTAATTATTAATTTCTATTGGAGTACAATTGGCTAAAGGTGGTGGTTTTCGAAATGTGCTAAGAGACATTGCTTACCAAAGTGCCTATAATAATTAACGTATTGCGTGAACAGTTTAACTGTTAGAGTATTATTATTTATACTGGGAAAAATCCTGAGATCTGGTAGTATTTTTACAAACTTTCATTTCTAGGAACGTAGCCATTGTTTATGGGCGAAACAATTCGCACGATATTAGCAGGGTCGACAATCAAGGTCCTTGTAAGGTTGACAAATATAATCGCTCGTGTTTTTTGTTCCTCTTATATGGAAAAATACATAACACCTCTATGTCCGTTACATGCAGGTAGCTAAATCCGTATACTTTTCGCATGCTTTGTTTTGACGATCTAGGCATTCGAAGCAATGTTTTACCTAATCTAAAAGTGTCATTCCTAACGGTCATGTTTACTCGCTCTAACCACCGTTCACGACAATTATAGCTTCAACGCTTTGGATATATAACTGCTAAAATATTACATCAAAACGAACCTTCTTCCCCATAGTTAGTATGCCTATGTGTTTCACCTTTCCTCTGACGCCTTTCTCTTATCCGCAGTAGATGCTTAGAAAATACCGCCCGCCATTTTGTTTCGTGGTTGCTCGTCGCTTAACTGCAGTTGCTGTTGTGACGCGGATTGGATCCTGGACGAAACGAAGGACTTGTCGCAGAGGCCTTCGTTGCTCGCCATATGCCGGGCAGGATGTGAAAGTATGACGAGTGTTGTCCACCTTGTTCGTATCGCAGTCTATGCAGGCTGAAAATGCCACTTTCAAGGAGCATCTCTATCATTTCGATAGAGATGCTCCTCGAAAGTTACATGGCTTGTAAGCAACAGGGTCAGTGGGCACGTGAAGCTCTCGTGTTCGTATTCATGTCGCTGATTAGGGCCGGCGCTAGGATCAGAATTGTTTTAATTGAATCGAAGCTCACCGTTGCGATTTTCACATTACGGCTCGTTCGCGCACGGTTTCTGTTGGCATGAGTTCGCTTAACTTTTCAGTAGGTTGGCACTTCTGAGATTCCGCGGGAGTTACTGCGCTAGAAGCTGTGAATGATTGCGGCTTATTCTTGAAGATTCCAGGGCGCTGCGTTCTCTTCGGAAGCTTACACGTCGACTTCTTCATAGTTGCTTTTTCCCAGATCGGGCTGGTGCATAGCATGATGCTTTTTGCTAAGGCAGCGTCATCCCTTACCTGAGACCCCTTAGTCCCTGAGAGCGGGCATCGAAGGTTGGTTTCTGCTTGATCGGCTTATTCTGTCTTATAGTGAACGTGCGTTATGTCAGCGAGTGTCTCGTCAAAAATAACTTCTACATATTTGTTTTTTTTTGGATAGCCTGACCTCATAGCCGCCCGATTCGGTGTGCGATCCTAGCCGGCGCCTTTGTCTATTCAGCAGCATCGCTTTTGTTTTTCTTAGAATCAGGTTAAGCCCTCAAAACCCTATCCAGGAGAAGGTGTCCACGAAGGCTGCATTTGCCATTCGTTTCAGCTGGGCTCCCGGTTGCTAAAGAGAAGCGCTAGATCGTCATTAAGGGCATGCCCAAGGGGTGAGGTAAGTGTAGCACGCAAGATTCCTTTAGGTGGGTCTGAGGACTAAATCTTGCGGGACTCCTGGCTTGACGACTCAGTAGCTATGATCCTATTATTCGCTGGAACCTGCTTCTGCTGTAACTGTGATTTAGAGTGATCGTATAAAACTGTGGTCTCGGCGAGTGTTCGTTTAGCGCGTAGAGGCAGATGGCTAATCTTCACTCAAAGCTGGAATACGATGTATATGTTGTTTCTCTACTATAAATAGCAGAATTCTTGGTAGGACTGTCGTAAACGAAGCTTAACAACTGGCGCTGTATCTGACGTTGTAGAGCGACGCTGATATTCTCTATTATTCTGATATTTTTTCTTGAGAGGGACACATGTCAATGTAGTGGACCATTCGGGTCTATGATGCTGCCTGTTCTGGCAGATCGCGTAATTTCCTGGCCGTTGCGCTAGAGATTCCGGGAATACGCCTTATCTGTTAGCCTGTCTAATGGAGAAATCCGAATAAACAAATGTCACCAGTTAGCCTTAGCAGACTTATGATTATTTAATATATTGCATATATATAGAATTAGTTAAGTCAGCGACGACGTTCTATGTGCAGTAAAAGGTTAACGTTGTTTCGATAATGACAGACAGACAATCAATGGCCCGAATGCAACAGTTCCGTCGAAAATTGAAGAGAGATCAGTTCATCTTAAAAATGATATATGAAGATAAGATAAAACTGTACTGTGTTTGAACAACAAGTAGATATCCCGTTTTAAGCTGGTCAGAAACAAACATTTTTAAATGTGTGTATTTTTTATAAATTGTCGGAAGAGGATATACGTTTCTGTTTTACGGACGCCAACCGAATTTCAATGGTCGAGCGTATTCGTAGTGAGATCTGCTAAGTTTAGCTTTTGCTGAAGACGAGTTTATTTCTAATTTTTTTTAACGTTTTGCGGAAGAGATTTTTTTAGCATAATAGTAGCTTCTAAATCATTTCAGCCTTATTTGGTAAATGTATATATATATATTTTTTGCAATTGTGATTAATTATACGGTCAGGATATGTCCGAAATTGACAATCTGGGCACAGCTGGAAGGCGCGATGCTTCTTTCTGTTACATTCGCAGACGCAGTGGCTAAGGCGCGTTCGCCAAACTACTATCTTCATGGTCAAGCAATTGACGAAATATTGTTCGGCCACCGTACCACGGCTACACGGATTTAGTCGGACGCCGATTTATGTTACGCATCGATTAGACTAGATTTAAAATATATTAGAAGCTGTTGTAAATATAAATATATATAATGCGAACTTTTAGATATACCGTTTAATTTACTGTCTAGCAAGGACTCAAGATCTCAAACTCTAAAGACGTCTTTTCGATATAACCGAAACCCCGCTCATAGGTCTGGAGAAAAGATGGTTCAAGCGACGATCACGGATAAATTTTCCTAGCGTGAATTGAGTTAGTAGTAATAAAATTGTAACATTATGTAAAACAACGATTGATTCAAGGTGAGTGACAAGAGTCGACAACGGCGGAGCTCATAGGCTACACGAAGCAATCATTCTAATAAAATCGTATTTGAACGTTTTTTAAATTGCAGATGATGCTGGTCCTTCTAAAGAGGGCGCCGACGGAGGTTCCGGTGAAGAAAAAGATACGGGCGTCAGACTTGAGCGTAACCTAGGACTTATGAGTGGAGTCGCTATGATTGTCGGCACTATGATTGGTTGGTAGTCTTTATCGATAGACGAGCGTATCTACGTACGTATAGCAGAAAATTTGCTTCAAACGATTAATCTCAAAAAAATAAAAACGAGCTATATAATGTTTTTTCACCCTTTTGCAAGATTTTAATTGCTTTGCAGAAAAAAAGTACTATCGTGAAACACGGACCTGTAAGACAAGTATGTATTTTATCCAAGCGCTTAGACAGTGATCGCCTTAGCTGCTTCACGATCATTTATTTCTACATAAATAATCATGCATGTGGAAAGCAAGAAATTTACCATAAAGCTAAAGCTAATTTTTACCACTTGAAAGATAATGCCCGTTGTTAAAAATAGAAATCCTGATATTTCACTGCTTAAAATAGAAAATTTAAAATTCAAAATGGGTGTCCACAGTACTAACCAGTAGGATCGGTGGGCTTTGACGGCATCAGCTTTAAACCTGGGTCTTAAGTACGTGGTTTAGAAGCCACGAATTGTAACTCAAGCCTTACCATCGACGTAGTTTACACCCCTATGTGATTTAACAAGGAAATTCAAACGTGTTAACCTATTAATCATATAAACATTGTTTCAATTGTATACGACGAGCGGCTTATGCTGATAACAGCTAACGACCTTTAAGCTTCTAGGTAAGTCAAAAGCGGGATAAAAACCCAATACTTAAATGCTTTAAACCATCATTGCCATCCCTATGGCGTTCCTCTGCAAAAACCTGGGTGTACCAGCCCATTTTGCAGCTACAAAAGTGTTATTTCTATTCGCGTTTTCATACGGTAAATAGCAGAGTTCAACAAGTCTCATTGAGTTCATTGTTTTCTCAATTTTGTGTTTGATATTCCAGGGTCTGGCATCTTCGTATCGCCAAAGGGAGTTTTACTCCGTTCAGGCTCAGTTGGTATGACTCTTGTAGTGTGGGCCGGCGGTGGCTTTATTTCATTGTTAGGAGCGCTTAGCTTTGCTGAATTGGGCACGTTGGTGACGAAATCTGGTGGTGATTACATCTACATTTTGGAGGCATTCCGCGGCTGTGGGGTTGTAGGGCCGGTTCCTGCTTTCTTGTACGCATGGACGACGTGCCTTCTACTCAAGCCGGCCTCGCTCGGCATCACTACACAGTCCTTCGCTAAATATATGCTGACGCCGTTTTTCCTCTACTGCGAAGATACGCCTACCATTCCCACAAAAATGCTTGCGATATGGACGATCAGTAAGTTGACGTCGGCTGATCCAAGTTCTACTATATGGAGACATTGTTTCTGTTGTTATTCTACCAGCTTAGTTTTTCTCCATAATGGAATCATGATCGATTTTTTACTCCCTATGACTGTTGTGATATCCGCGATCGGTGACTCACTTGCTCATCAACATGTATAAAAGTTAAACATACTATCTGGTTTCTTGGTTTTTTGCAGTTCTTGTAACAATTGCCAACTCCTGGAGTGTGACACTGGCCACTCGCATCCAGAATGTCTTCACGCTTGCCAAAATCTTTGCTCTGGTCTGCATTATTGCTGGCGGCCTTTGGCAGCTCGCGTTAGGTCGAACCGAATACCTCGAATCGGGCTTTGAGGGCACCTCATGGAGCTTCAGCGACATCGCCTCAGCTTTTTACTCGGCGATGTGGGCCTACGACGGATGGAATAACCTCAATCTCATCACTGAAGAACTGATTGATCCGTTCGTGTAAGTCGCTGATCATGATTGAGATTTAACAGAATGCACCAGGAAATTAGATGAAGATCTTAAGATAGTCAGGGAAAGTTAAGAGATATGCCCAAGATAAGAATGTCTACTGAGATACAAATATTCCACTATAATGACGAAGCTTATTGTATAATTTTTTCAACCTGAATTTACATAAACTTTTCGTCCTGTCGTAATAGCTTTATTTTTAACTCTGATAAGACATTTTCGCAATAAGAGGATGTGCTCAAAATAACCGTTATGCTGTATATACATATATATGTAGGGTGGTTACTCACTCAAGTTTTGTCATTTGTCTTAGAAAAGTAAGGTTTAAGAAAAAAAAAGAAAATATAACTTATTGGCATCGAACGTATCTACTTTATTTGGACTTTTCCAAGTAGTACTGTACTTAGGATATGTAAGTCAAGTTCCGTTTTCACAGAAAGGCTGCGAAGCAAAATGTATTTTCTGCAACATTTAAAATTAATCCCTATCTTTCGCCACCGTACTTTACCTTCTATGGTTCGATTGTTACGTCTGTCTACGGTCGAGTTATATTCGGTCGTAGTTATCTAACTTAACCAAAGAGCAATAACACTATCTTTTAATGTTTGCCTTAGCAATTTACTATTCAGCCATTATTTCAATGCCAAATACATGAAATCACGTAATAATTATTAACAAAAATTCGTTAGGAAGCAATTTCAGAAGACGGTCATTTGTAATCATTTTAAAAGTATGTCAGTAGTTATTAAAAAATAAAGAGAAAAAATTGAAAAAGTATTTTTTCTAAGCCTTAAAAGGATTAGAACGGCTAGGCATTCTGATGTACATTGTCATTGCTTTTTAGTTAAGCGTTGGACAAGCTATTGAATATGAAGATGAATAGATAATCTGAGATCATTTTCGGCCTAATATAGGTCGAAATATCAAATATAAGCTTTATTTTTCCTTCAAAATATAAGTGTTTCAAAAAGACTAAGTTTCAAACTTTTTGTCCGAGGAGAAAAAATTGTTTCTGCCCAGATTATGACAATTGTAGCATTCATCGAAAATCAAACCGTACCAATAGATTTCCTTTGAACCTATTAACAAAAAAAAAAAAAAACTTTATCGTTCCTGAGATAAATCAGAATCGCTTGAATAGACCGTCAGGCTACAAGGGGCAAGTCCTTTCTATATCTCAGAAATGATACAGAGGACTTGTTTACTCAAACAAAAGTAGCTTAGGCAAAATAATAATTTCTATGATAATCCTTTATAAATATGTATACTCACTTTATTATCTGATTAATCTGAACAGGAATCTGCCACGCGCAATTATAATTGGTATTCCACTGGTGACAACTTGTTACGTCTTCACGAACTTATCCTACCTCACCGTTTTATCTAGAACCGAGTTCCTCGCTTCAGAGGCCGTCGCTGTGGTAGGTCCCTCCAAAAAGCTTCTCAATTCTATTTTCTCTATATTCTCTATTTTCTCGCACAGATGAATACGATCAGAAAGGAGAAGCGATCTAGCCCAAAATAAAGAACTGACATTTCGCACTTCGTTACGATACGTTTTCGATAAAGGGTAAATATTTTAATTCGGCTAATTAACTATTAACATAGTAACGCTAATATATAGACTATAAATTGAACGCTCGACTGTAACCTCAATGGGTTCAATATTCGACTCTCCTGTTGTGCTTCATTGTGAACATTAAGCGTTTCGGCAACCATGTGTTTGGATCGCTCGCAGCCGTTATCTCATTATTTGTCGCTGCCTCGACATTTGGATCGGCTAACGGATCGACCTTCGCTGCAGCGAGGATTTCATTCACTGCCGCCCGTGAAGGTCATCAGTTGAAGTTTTTCAGCTATGCACATGTGACTAACCTCACGCCCATGCCAGCTCTCATCTTGAACGTAAGCATAGCCCTCACACATATGTAATACGATTAGTGGTTATTTATATTGCCATATATATATATATATATATATATATATATATATATATATATATAATGACAACAGGCCTAGTTGGATAAGCGTTATATACTTGAAAAACGTGCATGAAGAAGATATCAGTTTGACTTCAAACAATTTGCTACGAAAATTGGTGGGCGACCGTCATCTACTACAGAGATTGAAATCAAATAAATCCACTGGTAATAAACGTTTTTATCTGATATTGCCAACCCCATTAGAGTAAATGCTTGCTAAAGACGCCTTAACGTCCAGGTCTGTTTCGAAGCTTACCCTCTCGTTGAATTATCAAGCGCTAGTAATTCTTTTGTTGATACTAGCAATTAAAAAAATTATTAATTCTGTTAAAAAATAAACGTATCAAAACTGCATTCTTTAACCCTCCTCAGGCTGTACTCGGCATTCTCATGGTGGTATGCGCAGATATCGGCCAGCTGATCGATTTTTTCGGATTTGCAGCGTGGATGTTTTATGGAATCGCCACTTTTACTGTGATCAGTATGCGTTTCACGAAGAAAGACGACCCACGCCCATACAAAGTACGTGTTCTCTAAAGAAAACCTTTGTCCTTATATAGAAACTTCGAAGTTATCCGTACGACCAATTTGTGGACAGCTGATCCGAAGGTCTGTCCTTTAACACGAACGTTCAGAACATTTCTTTGTTAATAAACTTCTCCCGCTTTAGCCGTAGCGAGTTCGTCTAGGACACAAAATACTTTTCCACACAGATGTTTTCCATGACACCGTGGACAATTTGCCAACGGCTCGCCGTTAGTTTCATCATTAGTATATAAGTCAAGTGGGATGCAAGGGTGAAGACCACGTAAAGCTTTTTCTTTCGATTTAGCGATTATTATTGTCGTTGTCAACACTGGCGCTGTTATTTTTGTGGCTGTTTATAGGTACCAATCTGTATTCCGGTGCTAGTGTGCATAGTCGCAGTTTACCTCGTAGTGGCCCCAATCGTGATGAATCCTCAGATGGAATATGTGTACGCAAGCGTATTTATCCTATCAGGCATCCTGTTCTATGTGCCATTCGTGCACTTCAAATGTCGACCAGCCATCGCTGGTGAGTTATCGTTCAACAAGTTATAGCATAACTGAAGGCTATATTGTCTGACATTGAATCAATGAAAATAGACAGCGTTCACTGAATGAAAAGTGTCGTATGGTGTCGAACTTCAGTAAAAGTAAACGCGCTCACATGGTAGCAGACTTTTTAAAAGCAGCCCGAACAAAAAAAAACACGTTCAGGAAAATTATTTTTATATAAACCTTGTCTCGCTAGGGCTTGCAAGGTGCTTATAAAAAGCTCCATCGAAAATGGCTTAACGTCTCGAGAAAAGTGAGTTGAGCGGATTCTGCTTTCCCTTCCCTTTCGAACTGTCCGGGACCAAAAGCAAAACCTCAACGAGAATGTTTTTTTGACTAGCTTGAACATGTTCATAATATAACTTTTCTGTTTTTGCAGCACACTTCACGAAGTTTGGCCAGATTATTCTAAACGTTGTGCCAACAATTAGCCCAGAAGAGGAAGGGAAACTCATCACTGAAACGAGTAACTTGTAATTGAGTTAGTAATTAACTGTATAATCATCAGATAAAGCACAAGGCGATCATCTATTGATCAGTTACAAAGGATGATTATCATTGTTATACAGTGATAATAGAAAAATATTAGCTAAGGGAACAAACTTGTTCCCATAGTTATGGTTCACTTCGCAAAAAAGGAAAAGCACCTGATAGAATGTGGTAAGCTTATTAGTTTGATGATGATCGAAGGATGAACTTAGAGTCCGATTGTTAAGTTGTTTATGATCGATGATTTCATGACATGTACATTAAGTATGTTACTTCCGCGAAGAAACACGACGCAAATACAGCGAATCGAGCTGTTTTTGCCTGTAAGATAATCTGTACGGTAAAGATTGCCGAAACAAACACACTTATAATCACCAGGATCTGTTCAGAGAACACAAGCGGGATTGTGACGTTTAGCAACGATGAACTATGTAGATCAGATCCTACAAATCTAATATCAATCGTGACTTTGGAGGGCCGAAGGCGGAGATAGCGCCCTAGGAACTGAACCGCAATAAATATCAAATAAAAAAAACACTTAGATTGACCTTTAATTGACACGTGGTTTTTGTAATAGCCAGTGGTATGTTGTGTTGAACCGTTAGGTAAAAATATCGGATAGGGTTTTAGCACGATATGCAGTAAACGAAATTATCGTAGATTTTTTCGCAGGCGTTAATCAACCCAAGTAAGTCTGGCCTAAATGTTTTTCTCCACGATACGGCCACACTCGATTGGAGATTTGCTACCCTTCCGCAATCTTTATTGACTAATGCTTATCATTTCCTATTAATCAAAGTTGCAGTGTAAATTATATGACTGAATCAAAGACGACCTGTGCTTCCTAGTTGTGGGCATGTAGTCGAAAATTTCAATAGGCAGTTGTTTTTTCTTATTCAAGAACATCAAAGATTCCTCCAGCGGTGGGGTGTCTTTGGCCTGGCTGGATTATTAAAATCCAGCCGCACAATAAAATATATCATGTGATTAAGTCATTTAGTGCTAACTTTCGTTTCGTATGAGAGGCTTAGGATGAACCCACACACAGTTAAACTTCCTGATTAACTTCAGAATGTCTACTCGTAAAGCGAAAACACTTACATTGTGTGCTAAATATCATCGTCTCGATTCGGCAAAAAAAAGAAAACGGCACTGTTTGCGACTTTGCTCTCGGAAAATGCTAAAACGGCAAAAATCATATCAACGGTGGTTGTTAGCTCGGCAAAGAGTGTATCACAGTTATCGAAATCGAGTGAACTATAAAGTAACAATGGCACCTTCGTTTACGAAAAGCGATTCATGGTGCGTAGATTCAGTGCGTAAGTTGTCCTTAATGTACTACAACAAAAATTACAGGCCATATAATAAGCGTGCACGTTCTTGTATTCGATCCACGAAGTCATCAACAAGTGTACGCATGTACATACAACGGTGTGCGGTAAAAAATAAATTGGCCTGAGTATATACTGAACATGGCAGATTAATCTGTCACAACGCTTCAAAGGGTCGTAGGAAAAAGCCTAGCTGGCTAAATGAATGAGATAGCGCGTCCTATTGTTGACTGCGTTTTGGAGCAGCGTTCCCGGTGCTGATGACGATATCTTTCAAATAAGTACGTTGTCGTTCCTTAGAATATGATAAATAAACAGCCATAAGTTAGTACGCTGCATACATTTCATTCTCCGCCTATTTCTAACTGCGGTTACGGCAACGATAATATGTATCAACTAACATTATAGTTGATATCACAGCGGAGGACAAGCGGACTACTCGTCTACATCAGGACAACTTACTTATTATTAGAGCTAACTTTAGAGTATAATACTATAATATATGATACAGGCAAGAAACCAAATAACTATTTATACACTGACATTACATATATACACTTATTCAATGATATACACACGAACTACAACGGATAGTTTTCCGTTGTTCTGTGGACGATGAATGCAAACGGTATTTCATCGCGTGAAATTGGGGGTGCGTCAAGGACCTCTAGGTGATATTATTAGGGTTATGAAACCATATAATTGTAGTGGGTACCACGGTAGACTACTGACGCTCTCCTATTTATAGTAATGTCAGCGTTATAAAAACATAGTAAAGGACATAAAGCCATTTCGCGATAAGCAAAAGGATCCCTTGTTTAAGTTGTTACGCCATTGCTCCCTGTGTCTCACTGAATACGCACGCACAGAACTAAAAATGGCGTAGAAAGACCATTACCACCTTGTTGGCTAATAACATAAGAAGATCTGCTTTTTATTTAGATTGTATAGGATATGTGTGTGTGTGTGTGTGTGTGTGTGGGCGTGAACGGGTTATCTTTTGCGTTTGCGTTTATAAAAATATCAATTGAACTCTGTTTAATATTTTAAATAAATCTAATTTACGATATTTGGTTGCAGAGACATAATCGGCGCACGCTGCCACAGTGCTGTATATCAATTCTATGGTACATTTTGTAGATTTTTGTTGTTTCAAACCATTGTAGCCCACTGATGGCGTGCGACGTGTTCGAGACATAGACAAGAACTCAAACTTTTCCTGTACTTTGATGCGTTTCCACTTGTTGTTGATGTAGGCAACCATTCAAGCATGGTAGTTTGTGCTTGTTTATGTCGTGCTTAAGTCTTCATATATAACGCTACGAACGAGTGCCTCAGTTGTAAACGGCTCACCAGAGTAGAGTTATACGGAACAGCAAGCTGCTTTCTATGCTATCGGGTTGATGAAGATGATAAGATTTGATCTAATATCATTGAATACGTTCTATACGAACAGAGATATGACATAAAAATCTATGAGCTAACGCACACAGCCATATATAGTTCGCTGTTGTTGCACTAGTTATAGAACAGAAACGATTGGACGCCACAGGTACCGTGCGTTGATTGTCTGTGTGGCTGAAACACAGCGAATCTATTTATCCATGTTAAATCCGTAAAATATAGAATCCGGCTGAATCTTGGATTGTTTTTTTACTTGCAATCGTCGATAAGTGTAGCCGAAGTAGAATGTGTATACAAAATGCTTTCAAGGGAATTTTGCCGGACGCGCCTCCTAGCAGAGTTATATTTTCATGTACAACTTAATTAACCAACCCACTGAAAGACAATGAATTGAAAGTGTAACTCATGAATTATAAAATCGACGAATTAAATCACAATTTAATTTATGCGTGTCATGGTGAGAATCTTCGTTAAGGAATGGCAGACGCAGTCACCTGTTAAGCTTCAAAGATATTTTGTATATTTGGTAATATCTGCGGCTGTGTTGTTGTAATAACATATTGTTTATTTTCTATTGCAAACAACTGCGGACTAAGTAGGGTATGACAAACTGCAATGACTCGGCTGATAGATCAATAGAGTTTTTGTTATATCCGAGAAGTTATAGCGATGTCTCGACCCGCCGCCGGCGGCGGTTACAAATGTAGACCCTGTCATTTATAGCCTACGTATATGTATTAACAGCAGAATAGGCTGATTCTAGTTGATATAAAAATCCAACAGATTCGGACTAACGTAACGTGAGCAAAGGCGCGTGGTTACTACAGCAATAGCGTTTGTACGTTTAGGATCTTCATTGGCGAAGAGCAAGGTTAACGTAACAAATTGCTCAACAATGAATAATAATACGAGCTCAGGAGAGATAATGAAATGATCGTCAAACGTTTGCTTGCACGATTATAAGCAAGGTCGATACGTTTTTTCGATGGCACAAACACGACGGCAATAACAGCAAATATAATCTAATTATAACATATACGTATATAAATTGAAATATATCCATTTAAGGTACAATGGGGTAAAAATTATGTAATCTAATTATGAAAGGCTAAACTATATTTTTATCGTGCATGTTATAGATGCAGCTGATGGTGGCAATTATGAAGCTTTGATTTTAGCAATCATAAAATTATGAATGATTGAACAATGGAGTTCCATTTCATGTTCCGTCACACTCGAAATGAACGCTGAGCTACCATGTAAAATTAGTGGCTGAAAATATAAAAACATTTTGTATTTCGGAACAAAATGTATCTACTGACTATGTGTACGACAACTGAAAGCGACTAGGAAAGACAAATAGGAGCCACGCGCTTGTCTAATACGTATTTATGCGACTTGAAATAATTCCCAGAATAGTTCAGATTCGAGCGTTGAAGGATTCAGTGCATAAGTTTGCAGCTGGGAAACATTTCTTCTAAAATTGCCGAAATGTTTTTGCTTGAAAAACGCACACCCTACAACATAT